GAAGTGAGGAAAGCACTGAGCCTTTTGGCTGACTTCAGGTGATGTGACAGTTTTATGTGGGCTTATTACAGCCAGCATTTGGGGGACTGTTTCACCATGACCTCCCCAAAGCTCTCCCTTCAAATCAGCATTGGGATCTCTGCCCAGCCTTGCTGACCAGCAGGGAGACGAGCCTGAAATATGTTTTCCTAGAGTGTTGGAATGGTTTCCCCTAGTCCTGTCCCCCACAAATTGGCCTTTCAAGAGAGGGGAGAGGGCCATTAATCCCCTTTCTTTTCCTCTGCACTAGTTTATACCAGCTCCAGACAATGTCACGTCTGGGAAAGTAATGCCCGGAGAGTCACTAAGAAAGGAAGTGGCAGGTGGCACTGCCTGGCGCCCGCCCTGGACTGAACAGAGGAGCGCGGAGGGAGGGGCGCGCGCCTGTTCTGAGGCTGGGCAGCGGGCCTGTGTGGGGGGAGGAAGGAATATTCAGTTCCGCAGCCTTGTTCTCAACCTAGAGGATTAATTATAATTCGCAGTGAACGTTCCCAGGTATTTAGTATTCTACCTCTATTACTTCATAACCCGAACAAATTATATGGAGAAAAATTATTTTGTTGCTCTGACAGTAAACCAGGCAAATACTTTATGGCCTTATCTTTCCTTTGGACTTATGTCAGTAGCCACGCCGACTTGTTAGTTGGCTGTGCAGAAGAATATATTTAAGAGGTTGTCTACGGAATGGGCTTTTCACCCAGTGTCAAAAACTCATGTTTTCTAAAAGCATTAATGAGGTTAAGATGGCACAGCTAAACCCGGGTCTTATGGGAGTATGGCTTTGATTTTACAAAGGTCTCTTTGCTGTTTACAAATAAGACTTTTGTAAAGAGGTATATAAAGCTATGGAATTTTATATGTATATTAGCATGTGCTGAACCCCATGATCTCTAGTCTCCCTTTGGTGAGGGAGGTGCCACTGTCTGAGGGATAGGAGCAGGAGACGGAAAGGAGGGGGCTTCTGTGACGTTTCCCTGAGCTAGAGGTGGGAGTCATTCCTTTACTCTGCACTTTGGGTCACCATCTGGCACTTCTTCTGTGGCTTTGACATCAAGTGGTGCAGTCTTCCTGCCGAATGTTCCATGTTGTTCCCTTAATTCTCCAGCTTATTGTGAAGGGCAAATCCCGTGCTTAATTTTATGTCTCTTGAGTTAGGTAATAGATTTACATAGAGAATTGGAAGGTACTGAGGAGATTAGCGAACACAGCCCTGTCGTTTTACAGGTGAAGCTGTTTCGGTGATTGACAGGTTGTTATTATAATTTATTTTTGTGGTCTGTCTGAAAGGTGGTGCAATTGTAAATGCTTAAGAAGTGACAGTGTTCCTGAGTAGTAAAAATCCATGCTCTTGTTTTAATGAAGTGAACGGTCTCGATGTTTAGAAGTAACCTCCTAATTTGTAATAGAATAAAGAAGTTCACCTCGGGTTGTTTTACATGCAGCCTTCAAATTTTACTTCAGGTATATACATGATTCATTAGATGTTTTAAACAGTAATCCACTCTCTGATGACAAAAGTAAAGCTATATTTATTGATGAAAATTTGGAAAATAGAGAAGTATACAAAAGCAGATAAAAAAATCCACTAATAATCCCCAAACTCTAAAAACCACTCTTCCTTGTTCTTTCAGTTTTTTGGGAAGAGGGTGGAAGTGGAGATGGATAGATATCTAGATAGATGGATGGATAGATAGATAGAAACACATGTTTTTATATAGTTGTAATTATACTCTGTATACAGTTTATATCTTGCTTTTTTTTGGTATAAATATTATGTTGTAAATAGTTCTTAGCATACTCTTGGAGAACATGATTTTCTATTATTAGGCATTTGGGTAGCTTCCAGTTTTCACTAAAATATTTCCAATTTTGCTATAAAGAAGAGAGAAATGGAATTTCTTATATTAAAAATTTTTTGTGTATCATCAATCATTTTCTTCATGTATCTTCTTAAAAGTGAAATTAGTATGTCAAAGAATCTAAAGATTTTGAGTATGAAGCTGTGACATCTATGGTCGTTATTAAATCAATTTTAAATGGTCTGTGTCTAATGGTAAACCCGGTGGGAATATCACCAATAGTACAGGCCCCACCTGGCTGGGTCATTCCAGCTGCTACAGTGAGGAATGCTCCGGGCAGGAGCATCTCCCTCCACTGCAGCTTCACCAGCACTAACTACTGTGAATTTTAACTCTTTCCTTACCTGATTTTAAATAATATCCAATTTTATTTTAATTAATATTTCTTTGCATTTAAGAAAGTTGAATATTCTATAAACTTATTACCATTTTTTCCATTGAGATTTTTTTTTTTGCTGGTCATTGATTTTATATCAGTTTCACTTTAATTAATATAATTTGCAATCTTTGAATCAGTTTGTCATTTGCCTTTTAATTTTGTTTATAATGTATTTTTAAAAAATATGTATATTGATTTCAGAGAGAGGAAGGGAGAGGGAGAGAGATAGAAACATCAATGATGAGAGTCAATTGATCGTTTGCCTCCTGCACGTGACTTGCTGGGGATCAAGTCCACAACTGGGCATGTGTTCTGACTAGGAATCGAACCCTCGATCTCCTGGATCATAGGTCAGTGCTCAACCACTGAGCTACACCAGCCGGGCTGTAATGTATTTTTGACAGACTTTTAAAATTTTAACTCATCAGAACCTGTCAATTTTTCTTTTATAATTTCTTCCTTTGCTTTTATGCTTAGACCTTTCAAAGTATAAGGGTCAGTTGCTCCCTATTAGCAAGTTGTGGGCTTGCCCACTTATATGCTGTACTAAATCTGAAATTTTGTATTTAATTATAGCAGAAGTAAAAATTACTGGGAGAGGACTTGTTCTTAGCATACACGTCTATTTTTGCAATTAGAGTTGGCACACAGGTGTGGAAATGGGGAGGAAGGCCATGAACTCATGCTGTGGAAACTGGAGAGAGAACTGAGCACCTTCTACCTGCCACCCCCTTGCTGACTCTTAAATCAGCTACCTTGATACTGAGAGTTAGAAAGATGAAGTCACTCATCCATAGTCCCCAAAGCAGGCAGGGCTGAGCTGGGACCCGAGAGCACACAAGCATCCAAGGAAACCCTTGGTTCGCCTGACTCAGCACATTACCTGCATTACTGCCCCCTTGTGCTCCCAGTAAGTCCACTTAGAGGACAGTAGTCTTCATGACACTAAGGTGAGGTCTTGGTTCCCAAATAAATGACTGTGACTAACTATTATTATCATTGCTACAATAATAGCACAGCATATTAGTAATTCTTAATGTCAGGTTTGTGGTGCTTGCTCTGTGGCAGCAATTTGCAGAATAAAGAGGTACTAACTGCCTTAGGTAAGACAGAGTTCTTTTGTATTTGAGAGAGATGAATAATTATTTTAGATGCTGTCTTGTGGAGAAGCAAAAGTATTTTATTTTCAATGACACAGTTCTAATCCCCAGATTATATTAGGTGATTGAGCACCTGGAATGTGTGATGTTTTTAATAGAAGTCTATAATGATTTGGCTGAATCAGATATCATCATATACTACATTTAACAGAGGCAAAGGAAAGCAGGATCTGATATCTAAGAAAATGTTTTCTGTAGCATAGAAACCCATGCCTGAAACCTATGTGTTCATATTAACCATTGTCACCCCAATAAATTTAATAAAGTATTATAAAAAATGTTATAGGAGGAAAACTTCATTCATTAAGCTAAATTTTCCCCTACATCTTGTATAAAAGGCCATTATTATTTCATTCTGCCTTGATAACGTTTTGACAGCAACTTCCCTAAGTATTTGTAGCTTTTTACATTCAGGCTTCACCCCTTTTACTCTGCATCACATCTGAGAGTGGCTCATTTAGATACTCAGTAAATCATATGATAACTCAAGGCACAGCTCTGTTAGACTACTGATACAGTGCTAGCTTTGGGAATGTTGGATCCCAATCTAAAGTGGATCAGGAACATTCTCTATGTTTAGGTGGGCATTCTCACAGGGAATGAGTTGGCTCTGCAGTTTGTATGAGAACTGATGGAGCAGGTGCCTCCTGCTGGCTGTCACACTTTCCCCAGAACCATGAGATCATTGGAACAGAGGAAAGAAGGGGGCAGGGAGGGAGGGAGAGAGGGAGGGTGAGTTGAAAGGGAGAAAGAATATGAATAAATGTGGGAACTAATCAGGGTAAAAAGTAAAGGCAAAAAAGAAAGAGAGAGAGAAAGAGGGAATTGGAGTGAGAGAGCTATTGAAAACAATATAAGCATTATAAAATATTAAGTAGATGGATGTATAAATGTGTGCATTTTACTTTGAGCTTCATAGAATTTTTTAAGTGATGGGATTGGGGTAATTTTTCTTTTCTCTTTGTGCTTTCCTGAAATTTTCAAATCTAAATCTTAGGGATAATACAAAGAAAATAAAAGCCAGATTTTAGACTTGGAACATCACAAACCCTGGTCTTAATCTTGCCAGCCTCGAGCCTTCTTTCATCTTTCCTGAGCTTCATCCTTTGTTTAAGAAGGTTGTTTTGTGTTTGGCCAAATGAAAGTCTAAATTCTGGCAATAACCTTCTTTTTCTCTTTTTCCCTAACACCCAGAATGGGACAGAGTGGGCCTCCTCCCTGTGTAGTGTGTGCTCCTGCACTAATGGGGAAGTCCGATGCAGCCCCCAACCATGCCCACCGCTGCTGTGTGGACACCAGGAGCTGGAATTCATCCCTGAAGGAACCTGCTGCCCCATCTGTGTGGGCCCTGGGAGTGAGTATGAGCTCATAGAAAGAGACCCTGCTTGCCTTTGAGTTCACCTGGTGACATCCCAACTGTTCTCTTTTATGTTCAGCGTGGTTCAAAGATCCCCAACCCCATTCCTTATTGGAACAAGATCGGGCCTTGCACTTGGCAGGAAGGACGTTGCAGAGAGTGAGGTTGGAACAAATCTTTAAGCTCCATTCCAAACTTGGGACTCTGCAAGTCTCTGATTTATCTATTTTGCCTTGGCCAGATGCGGCCCTCTGCGTTCATAGCTCCCGAGAAGGAAAGGGAGGAGAGACAAGATCCTCTGATGTGATTCCATAAGGCCAAGGTAGTTCCTCTTTCCTCCTGGCGGAGAGACGAAAGAACAAATCACTTCTGCATGTAGTGTCACTGGTACTATCCTGCTGACTGGTCTTTGAGATGACATAACATCTTTCTCCAAGACCCACAGAGCAGGAAGCAGGTATTTCACTTGTCTTTATTGCATCTTTGATGTGGAGATTATGCCTGCCTGCAAACCAAGGCATGGGCCAGCCAGCCAGGCGCACTTCCAGACCCTCTCCTTGCAATTCACTCTTGGTCCAAGCACCCCTTTTTCATTTATGGATATATGTCCCCTTCCATTTTTATAACTGAGTAGTGTATACTTCACAATAACAGTTATTATCATTGCTGCATTATGTTCTCTCCTGGCATATAATAGCTAAAATTATTTTTTTACTTAATGGCACCTGGAAGCTGTACTTTATTCTTGCCTTTTCCCTTTAAAAAGACCCCTGGTTTCTTTCTGATTCCAAGTTATTCCATTTCTGGCCATCTCTTACCCTGGAGAACCATTCCAGGGATGAAAAGGCACATTAGGAAACGATGCAAGGAGAATGCTTGCCATGTGCATTTCAGATGTCACCAGAAAAGGACTGACAGCTGCTTTAGGTCAGATAACCCTGCAAATAAAAATGCTTGAACAAGAGGGTTTAGAGGGGGAGTGGGGAGTGGGCTGTCTGAGTCTGTGGGATCCCTTCTTAGGTTTTAGGAGGCTTTCTTGCTGGCCGTCCATGAGAAAGACACATAGGCAACATTTTGTCTGGAGGGACAGCCAGGGCCAACTTCATAATTTACTGGGTGGCGTGCAGAATGCAGAAGGGCAGGGTGCCTTGTGCAAGAAGCTAGGGTGGGGGGATGCTTTTCCTTTGCTTCTGTGGACTTTCTCAACCTGTCATGTTTTCAATTTACTATTTAATGTCGTATTGCCTCAAGTATGGAGATACTTGCTGGGTGGGTGGAGACCTCCATGGGCTCCCTGGATCCCACCCTGCTACGTGGTGCTTAGGTCACATGTCCTCCCCTGGCACCACACCCAGGCGCTGCTGTGGTGGGGGTAGCAGCCTTCACTGGGTGTGGGTTTGGGAGCAGAAGGCGGAGAGCCCACCCCAGAAAGACAAGGACACTGTGGGAGGTGGGACCATGCACCAGCTGAGGCCCTAAACCCCCAGTGCATGCTCCCTGGACTTCACTTACAGAACAGTTAGTGACAACTCCATGCAATGACGGCCAAGTATTAACCCCTAAGAATGAGAGCCCTTCTTTGCGCTGGGTTCTGACCGCGGGACCCCATGTGACTGCACTGGCCACATACCTATGCAGTCAGCCCTGGGATCAGCAAATGCAACCCCCCCAGTAATTTTTATTTCTCTGACCTTCCAGAACCCTGTTCCTACGAAGGCCGTGTGTTTCAGGATGGGGAGGACTGGCCATTGAGTCCTTGTGCCAAATGTGCGTGTAGAAATGGGGTCACCCAGTGCTTCACAGCTCAGTGCCAGCCTCTGTTTTGTGATCAGGTAAGGAAGACAGCCTTGGAATGGATCCTTCACAGGCTGTTAACTTCTCTGTACTGGGCTTGGTGCCCCTTCTGAGATGATGTCAGGCAGGCCTGGAAGTTTAGGAACAGGAAGGCAACGCTGTTTGTTTCCCTTAACCTTTTGGAGACCGCTGCTGAGACACTGCTTTTACTTGAGAAGCTACAGATAGGTCCAACTACCAGCCATGTAGGCCAATTGTTACATTATGAAACTGAATCTGGAGGGCACATGAAAGGAAGCTGCCCTCCCCAGTTGCAGATGTTCCCAAAATGTCAAGCTCAGCATCTGGAAAATTTAGTAATAATCAATCAGGTTGCTTACTGTTTGTCAATGCCGAGGTAAAGGCTGCTTTTTGAAGACATATGCGTGTCTTTAGACATGTTTATTCAGATGTACACGATTTAATTCTTATAATGATTCAGATTAGCAGAAGATTTTCTCTGGGGTGCTTTAAAATAGTGGGATCTTATTGTTCGTTTAAAGCTGATCTGATTTTCAAAACATTCAGCTCATCACACAAATTTAAAACAAAAAATCAATTGCAAATAAATGTAGTACACATGATATTTTATAGTTTTTTACTCTTCCAGAGGCTCCTACAGAGGTTTCTTGGCAGTTGACAGATAACCACGAAAGGAGTTTGCCTCCAGTGAAAAAATAGCTCATTTTTGATGTGAGGAAAAGCTGGAAGCCAACATTCAGTTGATACAGAGCAGTACTTTGTGTCAAATAAAACAAAATCAATAACATGGCATATTGTGACAATTGGGCAATATTTTTAAAGGCAGACAAAGGGCAATTAGACAAGAAATGCTAAATGCCAAATAAAAGGAAAATATATCTAATTGAAGGACTATATTGTATTACCCACACTATACCAACCAAGTTCATGCCACGTCTCCCAGTTCACCGCAAAGACTTGTCCTACCTTTAGGATTACAAATGAGCTTCTTGATAGAGTTGCACAATATCTTACATTCAGAGGACACTGTAGTGTTGAGGTATTTTCATTTACACATTCCAGGGCTTAGTCCCTTGTGAATGAAGGATAATTAAGCAGTTTTCCCCCATTACAATTAAGGAGGTGGGAGGAGAGATAGAGGAAACACCCCATTGGAACCCTTTTTTGAAAATCTTTAAAAACGTAACCATGGACTGCATAGTAGGGGATTAGATTTTGGAATAATTGAAATTATAATTTCCCATTTTCGGAAACATTAAATAGAAATTCTAGTTTCAAATGGTATCTTCCAACACATAGAGTCTGCATTGTTTCTAAAGATGGAATTTGGTACCGTACTTTAGAGCTTATTGACATGCAAGCATTCTGAAGTCTCGGAAACAGGTTGATTTTAATCACTTATGCATCGTTAAGTCTATATTTTTGTCACGACATAATTTTAAACTCAACTGTCAGATTAATTAGAACTATTTTTATTTAATATCAATATTAAATATTGGATGTCCTGATGATGTAAAGAGGTGCTGTGGAATTTGTGCTTTTGATGGAAACATCACCACCACCATCTGTCATCACTACATTTTGGGCATTTTTTATGTACCAATAATTAGTTTTACAAGCTTTAATTAATCCTCATAACAACCCTATGAAGTAGAAGTTATTATTATCATCCCATTTTACAGTAGATAAGACTGAGGTACAGAGAAGTAAGTAGCTTGCTCAAGGTTCCACAGTCAAGAAGTGTCAGTACTCCTAGCTCAGGTGGCTCTACATCACAAGCTCAACAGACCACACCTGACTTGTAATTTTAACCATTAAGTTATACTGCCTCCCAAAATGATGATTTTCATAGCATTTATAGAATAATAATCACAATAACAATAGTTGCTAACATCATTGAGCATGATTATGTTTATCTTATATATATATTACCTCATTAAAAAGAAAAAATACAAGTCCATCAGAAGAAATGTATTTCCAGGTCTTGAGCTCTAGAAAAATTTGATTTTTAATATAAGGTTTTTTAATTATAAAAAGAACTTGTATTCATTAAGGAAAGTTTGAAAAAGGCAGAAAGGCAGAAAAGAAAATGACCATCCATATTTCCATCATTCAGACTACGATAGATTTTTTTTTTTTTGTAATTCATTTCAATTTTTTTGGTGGGCAAATGCGGGTACATTTGTTTGTTTGCAGAGTTATAATTACATTTTAGAGGTTGGTGATAATCCCTGATGAAAGGAGACATTTCTTCTGTTTAAATAAGGAGTTGTTCCCTTAATGAGGAATGTAAATACTGAAATTGATTGCTCCCCACTGCTGTTCGGGTGCCTTGTGAAAAGAGCTCTCGCCCAGCCACATTTTTGTAGGCTTGTTGAAATGGCCTCTTTAGTTTGATGAGAGTTGTTCCTGATGATGCTGCCACCAGTTTTTAATACTACCTTTTTCTCCCTCCCCAAATGGATTAATCTGAGTAGGCTGAACTTCATCTTCGGATACTTTGTCTTCTGGGCCGCTAGGTATTTGAGAATCATTTTCTTGCTGTCTATATTCATGAAAGATAATTGAAGGAGTCTAAAATTTGGGAGGATTATGTTCTCTTTGCCATCTCAGCCCTATTGTCTTCTTTCCATTGAATTCTGGAATTTAGTTCCATGGAGGTCTGTCTGCTTTCTATTCCATTACACTCAGCCAGTTTCACTCTGTTGGATTCTTGCAGGATGTTTCTTTATCTTTATAATTCAAACATTTCCCTGGACATTTCTAGGCAAGGTGTCTTTTCACATAGTTTTCCTAGAGTATTGTGAAGCCCTCTCCGTCTGTATTCCAGTTTCTGAAACGATTTCTTTGGTCATGGCTCTGGTTAATCTTCCCCGTTCCAGTTATTCTCACTCCTCCAGAAACAGCTGTGTGCCTTAGGGTGCTCCCTTCCCTTCCCTCCCCTCCC